CGCTGTCGCTGTCGGAGCTGGGTGCGCTGTGCAGGGACAAGCCGCCCGGCGAGTGCAGGTGGCGGCTCTGGCTCTTCAGCAGCTTCTTCTCATGCTTGCGCTTCTTTTTCTCCATCTTCTCCAGTTCTTTGCGCGCGATCTCCTCTGGGTCCATTGGCTCGCCACTGCACGTGGTCGGGTGTGAGTTGTGAGCCGGCCGCCCCGGGCCCTTCTTCGTGTTCTCCTTCTTCCTCCACTTGGCCCGGCGGTTTTGGAACCAGACCTAGAGCAGCCGGATAGGGGAAAGGAAGGCACAATCAGGCGGCGGGCTTGTCGCTGGGGCTTCGGGCGTCCCCACTCCCCCCAGACAGGCCTGTACAACCTCGGCTCCGGCCAGGGGGCGGGAACCAAGGCACGCGGCCCGGCCGGCCCTGAGCTGGGTTTCGGCACTCAAGCTGCAGGTTCCAAAGAGCATCTTTTCCACCCAGAAAGAGGTAGATGGGGGCCTCTCGGCCAGCTTCCCACTCTGGCTTCTCACCTCGGGGAACTGGGAGCTGCCCCTTCGTTGGGCACTGCAGGTCTGGCCCCTGAGGGCTTCTGGTTCCTGGTCGGGAGGCAGGCTGGGAGCAGGGCCCCTCCTCGCCCCTCTTGGCTTCTCACAGCTTCTGTTCTAAGCGGCCTGCCTGGCCTGGTGCTGGCCGTCTGGCCTGAGGACCACCAGTGGCTGGGCTCAGCTGCCCTCCACACCTGTCTTCGGCCCCCTGGAGACTGAGTCAAAGGCCAGATTTGGGGGTGTCCCGTGAAGGGAAATCTGGGTGCTGCTTCTTCTAGAAGGTCCTGGGAAGCCAAACTTAGGGGGAGGGTTTCCAGCAGCCTGCCCCCCAACACATTCGCACATGTCCTTCTTTCTGGGGGCTCCAGGCCAACACACCAACACAGCCCCTGAAACCAGTTGTGCTTGGCCTAGGCCAGGGAGCAAGGCAGACAGGAAAGCAAGAGGCCAGTTGCCAGGCGGTGCAGAGGAGGCCTGGGCCCATCCAGCCTCTTGTACCCTCCCTGCAGCCCTTGACCTGGGGAACAGCAGCCCTAGACACTGGCTCCCCACCACACACACAGTCAAATCCCTGCTGAGCCTCAGGCACACCACCCTCCCCAAGAGATTGCAATAATTCGAATTCTTTGTTGTGACCACGGAGAGACCCCGCACAATAGCAGGCCCGGCCCAGTCACAGGGAGCCTTGCTGGTGCCAAGGTGCGGGTTTTAAGCTGTAACCTCTCCAAGGCTGTAACTGCTTCTTTCCTTCCTTCCTTCCTTCCAATACTTCTTTTTTTGGTGCAAATTCCACGCTCACTTGTCACCAAGAAATGCTCATTATTGTACAGGGGAGAAACGAAGAGGTCTTTGCTTAAGACACTTACACAAATTAGACGAAAGGATTTACAAACAGAAGAGGTCATGTGGGGCAGTGCAAGCACAGGTCGAGAACACCTTTTTAGACAAAGCTATTGGTGCTAAACAGGCGTCTTGCCGTCCTCTGCCTCAAAGCCCTGCACCCACAGCTGCAGCCGCACACCCCACTCACCACCACACCGACTCCAGAAAAAGATTTCTATACTTCGGGGAAACATCTGATTATGCACAATTCATCTTGAATTTTTAATCCACCACATAGACGCTGTATTTTTAAAAAGAATAACGCGGGCAGTCTCCGAATGAAATCGAAGTATGGGGGGTGGGGTGGGGGAGATATAACTGAGAGTAGTAAAGATTCAGACCCCCCCACATGTGTCAACTGTGTAAGTTTCCGCCTCCCCTTCCTCAGCTAACCTCCTGCAAAGCGAAGAATAAATACAGGTCTCCACCTGAATATTTTAGAGGCGAGAGATAAGCAAACAAACGGGTTTGCTCCAGGCCGGTGCCCGGACACCCCGGGCGAGGGCCAGGAGGCGCGGGGTCTACCTGCTCCGGGTTTCTTCCAGATCCTAGCCCGGCTGGCTTCCCCCCCCCCCGCCCCCACCGCCGCTTCTCCCGCCCAGCCCTCGGAGACCTCATTTCGCGCCCATTTCGTCGCCCGACCCCCACCACGCAGCACCCGGTTCGGACGCAGCTGCTCTTCTGGCTACTTTGGGCCGTCGTCGGCCCCTCCCAAGCCGCCTGGGGCTTTCTCCCCGCGAGGCTCTGAGCCCCGGAACCGCAGCACCACCTCCGGGCAGGCGAGCGCTGGGGAGGCTCGGAAGCGGGGCCGCGGTCCCCCACCTAGAACAAAGGCGGGGCCGGCGCCGGGCAGGCCTAGTGGCGGGATGCTGGCTCCCGGGAGGGACGGCGGGTCTTTACCTGCACGCGGGATTCGACCAGATCCAGGCGCAGCGCCAGCGCCTCGCGCATGAACACGTCGGGATAGTGGCTCTCGTTGAACGCCTTCTCCAGCTCTTCCAGCTGCCAGCCCGTGAAGTTGGTGCGGGTGCGCCGCCGCTTGCAGCCCGGGCTCTCCTTGTCGGGGTCCCCCGAGTCTGCGGGCACGCACAGGACGCCGCACGGCTCAGCCAGGGCCCAGGCCACATCCACCCCCTCCGTACCTGTCGGCCGCCCGGGCCTGGGGGCCCTGCGCCGGGGTGGCGGACCGAGAGCGCCCTGAGCCTCGGCAGCCGGCGCCCGCTCTACAGCCGCCCGCGACCCAACTCCGGCGCCCGACAAGGGTGCCCTGCTTGCCCCCAGCGCCCTCCCCGCCCGCCGCACCTACCTGACAGCTTGAAGGGCTGGCTGTCGCCTCCCACCCCGCAGGCGGCCGGCAGCAGCGGCGTGGGGTTGACCACCGAGGCGGCGGCGGCGGCGGCGCACGAGCCGCTGAGCAGGCCGTCGATGGAGAAGGGCACCGAGGCGGCCGCGGCGGGTGGCCGGCCAGCTCGTACACGTGGTGGTGGCCCAGCGGGTAGGGGAAGCCCACCACGCCGCCCAGCGAGCCCCCGAACTGGGCATGCGGGTGC